AGGAACAAGGTATAAGGGAATTGGTAGTTAATTATTCCTTGAGGTTTCTAAACTTTATCACAGCATCAGTGAGAATGTTAATCATTAAAATTATTTTACTAAATGACATTAGCTTAGTTTTCTAATGCTTTCACTAATGAGCAGCTTAAAGTTAATCTTAAATGTTGAGGATAGACATAAGAAAGTCATCAATATTTTTCTTATCATCATAAAACCCATTTCCCATTATGTTAGTTTTCCTTAAATAAGGGTAATGAATTCAGTATTTAGTAATACAACATATAGCCAAGAATTTGAAGAGCGTGTTAGAATTTGTTGGGATGGACCTTGGCTGGTACATAAGAAATACTGCTCTTTCTTTGCCTTGGTTTAAATTGACAGAGTTGATTGTCTTAATTTAAAAAATATAGTATGAAGAGATTTTCAATAATGAATATTTTAAGAATTTGGTTATAGGAATAAGATTATTCTTTTATTCCTAAATTCTTTTGCTGTGCTTTCCCTAAGAGCCAGTATCTCTATACTTCCATGATTCCTCTTCTAGTTTATTCTTACCCTCAGCTGATAATTCTGTGAAAGTTGATCTAATGGTTGAGAAGGAACATTTTTTTATCATTTCAGTTTCCATCTGTAGTATCTACCTACTGTATCTCTTTATCACCTATAAGGTGAAAGCTGAACTCAAATCTCATTCTTATACATTTTCTTGACTTGCCCAGCCATTCACCAGGTAGTGTTTCCTATTTTATTATTTTATTTCATTTCATTTCATTTTTTATTTGTCTGTGTGTTTCCTATTTTAAATATTGGACTTGGCACAGTAAAGATGTCAGGAAAAATATTTGAGGTCATTTTGTGTGTATCAGGAACCATAGTACTAGTTGCTTTTATAAATGTCACTGAATTTAATCCTCACAAATCTGGGAAGGAAGTAAATAAATCAGTCCAATTTTACTAACGATAAAGCAGACTGATAAAATGACCTTCCTGTACAACCCAGATTATCATGGGCAGAACTGGGATTTGAATCCATGTCTTCCTTATTTTTCTTACTATTCTCTCTAAAAAGCAGAGATCTGGGTTTTAAAAGATTAGGCAGAAATTAGGTGTTTTGTGGGACAGTTAGGGAAAAGATTACCTGAGGAAGAACAGGAGTGTCAAGAAATGTAGCAGATGTTTTAAAAGAATCAGAGGTTCATCTAAGCTTATATAGTTGTTGATTTTATAGTGTTGATAATACTTGATTTGCAAAAGTATTTTGTAATATTCTTTATCTTTTATTAAATGTTCAATACCCATGCCTTTTTACTCTATTCCCTCTTAGTATTTTTTAAAAATATATTTTTATTGATTTCAGAGACAAAGGGAGAGGGAGAGGGACAGAAACATCAGTTATGAGAGAGAATCATCGATTGGCTGCCTCCTACACGCCCCCTACTAAGGATTGAGCTTGAAACCCCAGCATGTGTCCTGCCCGGGAATTGAACCATGACCTCTTTGTTCATAGGTCAGCGCTCAATCACTGAGCCATGCTGGCCATGCCCTTTTTAGTATTTATGAAATATATTTGTTATCCAATATATATTACAAAGAATTTATATGTTTTAGTACCATGCTTTTCAGATATGTCTTATACAGAAATTGTTTTTAGAATTCTCTTGGGTACCAGATGCAGTTCTTTTTTGAACTGGGTGTATATATGTCCTTGTGCAAATTCCTCAATTTTCTGTGTGCATAAGAGGGATACCAATAATGCCAGTCTCGATAATCATCTTAATGTTATACCCCTTGTTAAGAAAGTAGAAATTATATCAGAAATCACTCACTTTTCAATAGCCAGTGAAATTATTTGCTTCTGTCCTATCTTTTCTCACTTCCTTTTACAATGGAAGCAATGTCTACATTATGTTTTTTCCCACTGGTGGATGTATGACTGTATCTCCTCAGTGATCCCTTAGCACATGTTCAGCTATTCTGTTTCTATTTACATTTAAACATGTGTGTCTCTTCCTCTTGAAAAAGCAAAAACTCATATTCATCCACTTGCATTTTTGCTTCCTTCCCCATACATAAGTTGTCTGCTTCCTCACCTCGTATTCACTATACCCTCGTTATGCCACTGACACTACCTTGCCAGTGTCACCAATAATCTCCTTATTGCTAATTCTAGTGGATCTATAATCCTTACCTATAATTTCATTTTATTTATTATTATTATTTTTTTAAGGTAAGTAGAGCTTCAGTGACTTAAGGAGAAAGTTTGATGTTCTTAGGGCAAAAAAATTCATTAATTCATTGACAAATATGTCAAGCACTCCTATAATTGTTGAAGATTCAGTAGCTAATAATATGAATAAAAGTCCCTATATTCTTGGAACTTCAGATAGGATGGGAAGGCCCTCTATGACCATGACTTTTGAGTAAAGACCAAAAGGAGGTAAGGGAAGGTTCCATGCAGATATCTGGGGAAGAGCAAGCCTGGCAAACTGTTTATTTGGTCTTAGGAAAAATGCTTTTTTGTGGCATGAAATGTTTTTATAAAGATTCTTGTTCTTGTGGTAGAATGGAAAGCTGGGTATTTTGGGGTATGCTGTTACAAATTGACTTACATTAGGATAAAATAGTATTTTTCATAATTTAATTTCATAGATTAAGTAAAGACAAAAATACTAAAGTTAATTTCATTTCACGTTTTCTTAGAATCTAGTCACATGCTTTTGTAGATGGACAATTTAGATAATGGCATCTTTATTTCATAGAGAGTTGTGGATTTTTCAAAATAAGTGGAACATTGGCTGAGGTAACATAGTACTACAGCTCTAGGAAACTCTTAACCTAGTGAGGTTCAACAGCTTTTTCAGGAGGAGGAATTTTCCCATTTGTACTTACATCATTTCAGCAAAATGACTGATCTTCTGAGAGCAGTAAAACTATACATTCACTATATACTATGCATTATATTAAAAACCCTAATTTATTTAAAGGAGAAAGAAGCCTTAAGAACATCTTTATGGGTTGGCTCCAGTATTAGGGAAGATGCGTGTGATTCAGAAGGGGTCTTCCTAACTCGGATGGAACTCTATCTAGTTATAAACAGACTAGGGGCCCGGTGCATGAAATTTGTGCACTGGGTGTGTGTGTGTGGGGGGGGGGTGTCCCTCAGCCCAGCCTAGAGGAACTGAGTTATGGAAATGGTTGGATAGTGAAAAGCAGCTAACGGGAAGAAATGGATTGAGATACC